TTTTCCTAATAATACGTCTTCTTCTCCTTCTCCTTATTGTACTTTTCCAGCTTTCTCAAGAACTGAGCCTTAGGCTTCATAACTTTGGGTCGATCATCTCGGCATTTTGGACAGTACCGCTTGCCTTTAGGTTGTGTAGACCATGTTACATATAATGAAAAATAAAACCATTAATAGGACATACATTATTAGCACACATTATCATCTCTCCATAAAAAATTTGATCACAGAGATAATAAGTGGGTTCATCTGGATCAATAACTGATTTTTCATATCATGAAGAGGTGTCTTCTTTTTATATTTGGGCATTTTGACGGGTTTTGGGTTTTTTCTTTTCACTTGTAAATGTTTACTTCTACTGAGCAGTATTGGTGGGGATGGTAGCTGGGACTTGACATCTAAGAACATGCTCTACTGGTATGGCATCATTACTTTCTGCACCTGTATAGGTATCATGCCTTGTTCTTCTAGCACACTTAACAGAGTGTATCATTATTCGCAGAATTGCTGTTATTATTCTTAGAAGGAAGAAAAGACGTAATATTAAGAAAATATTTAAGGAAAGGTGTTATTTAGCTGCAACTTTAGATCATGGAAATAGGAAATATGTGTTAAAATGAGAAATTTGGCCTTAAGAATTAAACAAAATGTATACTCTTTTTATACGTTGCTATAAATTTGAATTTTTTTGCTCTAATAGTGTGAATTTTTTGTTTTTCAATGTCATTAATATCATTGTATTTATATTTGTTAAGTATCTCCAAGGCTTTTCATTTCTGGTAAAACGATTCCCGCTGTATTCTTAGAACTCTTCTATTCATTTATTACGTTGAATCACTTTACATTTTTAATTTTTTTCACAGGTTGTCGTGTGATTTGCTTTATTTACAATTTTTTTACTCTTTTATATTATTACATTTTTAACAGTTTTTCTATCTTCAGTTTCTTAGGGGTCAGGTTCTCTCCATCCTATGCATCTCTTGTCCATCTCTGTAGTGTGATGTATCTGACTATATGTTCTCTCTTCATGGTATTGTTTATTTCGTGGTTCACTAATCTGCTCAGTTATCCTTAACCTTCTTTCATCTCACTTGTGAGAAAGATTGCCACTGCTGTACCTATATCTTACTACTAGACTAATTACCACTTTGTATACTTTTAACATTTTTTGGTTTATTTTTTGTTGCGTTTTTCTTCAAATAATAAGATTCAATTAATATTTCTTAGATTCAATTTAAACAAATGTTCAGCATCACTCGCTGCAATCAAATACTCATAAGTAGACTTCAAGTCGCCGTCAGCTTATTCTACTTTTACTTACTCATTGTTACGTGAAAGTGTAAGTTTATATGACAAAATTTATAGCAAGGTCATTGAACCTGAATGAAGAAATCCTTCGTGAAAACTCGCCGTTGTATTCTTCACCAAACCATACGATGGGAAAAATTTTTCGATGGTTTTCGATGATAAAATTGTACTATCGGAAATTTACTATATACCAAGATACTATCCATATAAGAATTCTTTTTTTAAATATAATAGTTTATTAAGGATTGTAGTATTTTGTGAGCTTGTGGCAATGCTTTGTAATGTTTATTTTTTTATTTCGGGGTTACTAACGATGCTCATATATTATACCGCCTTAATGTTTCGTCTGCAACAGCATATTATCAAAGACTACTATCTGTCTATGAACTATCTATCGCTCACATATCATTCCATGTAAGGGAAGGTATCCTAAAATGACATAATTTTTATTTGGCACATTTTTTGCAAATACCGTTCGAAATATTGAACTGAAAAAAATGTAACACATCCTTTAAATACGTTTTACTCATATACTTAAACGAAAACATCTCATCTTCATAAAAAAAATTGTTAAAAAAGTATTTTTTAAAAAACCCTATGTTGTATTATTAATAGACGTAGGTTTTTTAGATTTTTATTAACTCTTTTATTTAAGAACTATTACAATAACGGCATAACGGCAATTTTGCACGTATCTACATACAGAATCACCTAATGATGCGCAAAACAAAGTAAGACTTACCACCATAGTCAAAAAAATCGCTAGCTACTGTTTGGAAAGGAAGCTCAGGAAAATATCTTAAAATTAACGGTTCCTTGACATTATTGTTGCTAAATTGTTCACATGTCTAACATTCCTTTATAAAATTTTCAATATCAGCATTTATTTGAGGCCAATATAAAATATGCTTTGCGCGATTTTGAGTTTTAGTAATACCAAAATTATTCTCATGTAACAGTGAGAGCATCCCTCTGCGTAATGCGTTAGGTACAATTACTCTGTCATTATAAAACAGCAAATCATTACATATATGTATGTCATGTCTAATTGAATAATATATTTTAAGTGATTCCGGAACCTTACTATTGTCTGTAGGCCATCCCCTTAAGCAATAGTTTGTTAATCTTTGTAACACAATATCGTTTAATGTCTCTTCAATGAAAACTTGTTTTTTCTCCTCTGTGAAGCTAATTGAGGCTATGACACCTTATACTATGGTATTTTACAACATCTATCACATAAAACGACACAGTCGCGGTGTAAAAATGACAACAACAAAAAAATATAAAAGTATAAGTAGGTAAATTAACAAAACAAGAAATCAGTCTTAGCAAAGTTCACAAATAAACTTTTTTACTTTTGCAGACAATCCAGCATTGCAATTTATGCAACTAGTTCAACACTCCCTGGACCGAGAATTTTTAAACAACTCATTACAGTAAAGACAAGCCACATCATACTCATCATCTTCAGCTGCAAATAAATCTTGTTGTCTTTCTGTTTGTGCACTTCATCCTGCTCTTCTTCATGTAATTGATCTGCCTTCTCACCATTATCATCGCCACTGTTATTCATCTCCATCTCCATTTCTTCTCCTAAATTTTCGTCGTCATTCGTCTTCAACTCTATTTCTCCTTCTAAATCTTCGTTCCCACTTCCCTCTTGATTCTGATTAAATTCTTCAAATTCAACTGATTGACCGGGTTCAGTATTAAGCAATTTTTTCTTTTCTTTTTTAATGGTATCCCCTTTCTTTTTTATTGTAAAAAATTTAATAATGTATTATCAATTTCAGAGCTTACTCATTTCGCAAATCTCTCATTCGGCATCTTTTTTAGCACTTGTGTGTGCATGTGTGTCAAAGCGATAAAATCCAGTTGCTCAAAATGAAGTTGAAGATGAAGATTTTTTTAAGTTTGGTTCAATTGCGCCTATTAGTTTTCTTAGCAATTAAGGAAAGATGGTTTGTTCAACTGAATTTAAGTAAGATTGACCAGTTTTTAAATCAGTAAGGATCTTTTTCCAGGCTCTTTTTAAAGGCCCAAAATATCCAACATCAAGTTGTTGTGTAAGCCCTCTAGAATTAGGTGGCAGAAATACAAACCTTATATTTGCCCTTTGACAAACCCTTATTATTTCAATAGTCAGATTTTAGAATAAGTTGTCCCCAATCAAAACCTTGGTGCTATTATTCCGTTTTGACCATGGTAAAAGGAATTTAAAAAGCCAGTCTTGCAAAGTTGATGCATCAAACCATCCAGATTTTGATCTATTATAAATTGTACGAGGTGGCTACCCGTTATCCATCTATCACATAATCTTTCAGATTTATAAATGACATACAGTGGTAGGTGTTCTTCTGTTGCGGTAGCTGCGAACATTAGCGACACTGCGTTTTTAGTGGCATTCATGTATCTTTTCGAGTAATTTGGCCCACGTCGAAATACACATTTTTGGGTACCAGGGTCATCTGACAGATTTGTTTCATCATAATTTAGGATATTTTGAGGATTGGTGTTTTCAAGTGTTGATTTTAAATTATCAAAATATCCCTCCATTATTTCTTCAGTATAGGCTGCCTGGATCATTTAACGTTGTGTTGTGGCAGTGTCTTTGAGTTAAAACGTGCTTAGGTCCTAGCAAAAAAGCCTTAACCCAGTAACAACTAGAAAGGTTGTTGTGAAAGAAATAAACAACTCGAGTTCCTCTGGCCTCTGTATATTGTTTGACAAGCATTTTAATCTCTAGGCTTGTTAAAGGAGCACCATATTCTGCACTTGCTATAACAACATCCACTAAATGACGTTCTTCTATTTTAATGAGTGTATTTAAACGTGCTCTCACTGCTTCCACAGCTCGTTCAAGCATGGCTTCAGAGTAGTTTACATACTGCCTTGCTCCCAATTTTTTTTCTGCTTTTTTGGCATTTTGATTGGTCCTTGAAAGAAAAAAAATAATTAGGTAAATACTGACATGTATTTATGTAAAAATTAATACTTTATGGCGTTAAAAACTCAAAAGCACTCTTCAGTTTCCTTTTAAATGCCTCTAAAAAACAGTTTATATAAAAATAAAAGCCAAAAATTAGACTCAAATGACAGGACAATATTGCCCGGATTTTGTATTATAAAGAAAAAACATGTGATTACTGATAAACGTTTCATCAAAAATTCAGTTAAGACACTACTAAATCAGACGTAAAAACAAAAATTTAGTCAACATTCCTACTATTGTATACCCGGCAGTGCTTAACTTGTATCCTAAAAAAAATATATATTGTTCAAATTTCTTACCTTACTATAAACTTTACAGTTCGGTCAGGCAGGTTAGATCACACTGGCCTTCATTTCTGCATATTTCTTAGTGCGCGCGTAAACGTCGGTGGTACTTTGCTATATTGCCAAGTATTTTTTTACAACTATTATAACCCTTACAGTGTTCAAAATTGAACCTACTGGGCAAATTAGGCTTAGTTTACGGTATTTAAAATTTATCTTTTAGAAAAAAGAATAGCAAATAACTTCAAAACGTTCTCGGTCCAGTCAGACCATCATCAGTGAAAAGTCTTAAGCGTAGTTGAAGCTAGCCACCGATCTAGGTGTTAAACCTTTAGATTATATGAAAATAGTATTATATTATAAAGTTTTAAGGTAAGTTATATTTTTATTGTTAAAATTATTTTTCTTTTAAGGTTTTTTAACGTTATTGGTCCAAGAACCATCAAACCAAACACAGATTACCATTGTGCCATCAGCGTTCAAGCTACATCTCAACCAACTTCTATATCAGCAGTGCTCCAAGGAGCATCTTACAATGGAACGATATTGTTCAGCAAGGACCAAGTGGTTATACCACCGTATAGTACCAGAATATGCGAATTTAAGGTATATACTTTTTAATATTAGTATCATTGATATAAATATGAAGTATCTGATGTATTTGATTGATGTTTGTAGTTTGGTGATCTCGAAGATGGAGAATATGAACTGGAGGTTCGTGGTACCGGAGGAGCCGATTTCGTTGCCGGTTACCCGCTGCAATTCCTCAAAAAATCATATACGGTGCTTGTCCAAACGGATAGGCAAGTGTACAGACCTGGTAGCACCGTTCTCTTCAGGGCTATTGTATTAAACTCAGAACTAAAACCAGCTGCGGAAGTCAGAAATGAACCATTACATATATTTGTCTCCGTAAGTAATTTTTGTTAAAACCCAGTGACAATTTTTAAAGTTGTTAAATTTATAGGATGGTTCTGGTAATCTGGTGAAAGATTGGAAGAGGATTGAGGCTGTGAGGGGAGTCTTCACGGGCGAGGTGAACTTAGGACAACACCCCGTTTTGGGCAAGTGGAATATATCGGTGGAAATACACGAACAGACCTACCACAAGTCCATCGAAGTTGTTGAGTATATTTTGCCAAAGTTTATGGTCAATATTGACTCTCAAAGACACATTACCTTCAAGGATAATGTCATTAGAGCAAAGATTGATACAAAGTAAGTATAGTTCTCTCCCTTTTTGCTATGGTGTCTTCTTTATAACAGAACTTTGATGATATATTGCATGCTAATCTCAAGTTAGTAATAGTCTCTGTTTTATTGTTTTTAAGGGTAGTTTAAGTGTTATTATAAGTAATGTTTTTTAGAGCACCAACCTTGTAAGATACATTTTTATTTTATTGACTTCTACATTTTTTAACGAGACCTAAAAATTATGCTTCTTCTTCTTCTTCTTCTCGTGCCACTCCTAGCGGAGATTGGAAATCATCATGGCCACTGCGACTTTGTTAGCAGCGCGCCTAAAAAGTTCAATCGAACTACACCCGAACCATTCACGTAGATTACGAAGCCACGATATTTTTCTTCTTCCCACACTTCTTTTGCCCTTAATTTTGCCCTGCATGATGTTTCTTAAAAGTTCGTACTTTTACCTCTCACAATGTGCTCCAAGTATTCCATCTTTCTAGTTTTTATCTCATTTAGAATTTCGCATCTTTTGTCTAAAGTTTGGAGTACTTGCGTGTTAGTGACGCGGTCTATCCATGATATTCTGAGAATGCGCCTATAGCACCACATCTCGAAAGCTTCGATGTTTTTTATGGTCAACTGTTTTAGTGTCCAAGCCTCAACTCCATATAACAGGGTAGAAAAGACATAACACCGCAGCATTCGTATTCGTAACTTTATATTGATATCACGATTGCAAAAGAGTTTGCGCATTCTATTAAAGACTAATCTAGCGATTTCTATTCTACATCTAATCTCTTTTGTTTGATCAGTATCGTCTGTGATCCAAGCACCTAGATATTTATAACAGGGCACACGCTCAATCGTTGTATTGTCTATTACAAGATTAGCTCTGATGTTCTTTGATTTCGTGATTACCATAAATTTAGTTTTTTTTCAAATTAATTTTCAAGTCGTAACCGTTACAGTATATATTGAGACTTTGAACGAGATGTTGTAGTTCTACTAGCGTTCCCGTTAGGAGAACTGTATCGTCAGCATACCTTATATTGTTGATCGTCTCACCATTTATTATCAGATCAAGATCTTCTTCCTCGAGTGCTTGTTCACAGATAGCTTCCATATACAGATTAAATAAAAGTGGCGATAAGATACATCCCTGCCGGACTCCTCGACGGATTTGAATTTCCTCTATTAGTCTGCTTTCAACCTTGACATTTGCTGTTTGATTCCAATATAGATTGCATATAATTCGAATATCTCGGCTGTCTATATTTTTCTTTATTAGAACTTGTCCTAGTGGTTCATGTTGTACTTTGTCAAAGGCCTTTTCGAAATCAATAAAGCAGGCGTAAATTTCTTGGTTCATGTCTAAGCATCTCTGTGAGAGAACGTTCATTGCAAACAGAGCCTCCCTTTTACCCAGCCCTTTTCTGAATTCCATCTGAGTGTTACTGATGTCTACGTCTAATTTCCTATAGATCCTATTATGGATTATTTTTAAGAACAGTTTTAGAGCATGACTCATCAAAGCTATCGTACGATATTCGTTGCATTCCTTTGTATTTGCTTTTTTTTTGGCAGTAGTATAAAGGTCGAACGGAGCCATTCCCTAGGTATTATTCCAGTTCTATATTATTGTGTTAAATAGATCTAGGAGTATTTTAATAGATTCATCGTCCATAAGTTTGAGCAGTTCTACGGGAATTTCATCAGGACCGGGGGCCTTACCACTTTTTGCTTGTTTGATTGCATATTCTATTTCTTATCTGATTATATCAGGCCCTGTATCATCTGTATATTCGTTTGAGATTTCTTGTCTATCTTTGTCATCAAACAGTTGTGATATGTATTCTGTCCATCGGTTCATTTTTTGTTGTAAATCTGTTATAATTATACCATCTGTATCTTTGATCTGTCCTGTCTGTGTTGTTTTTCTCCTTCCTGTCATTTCTTTAATCTTTTTGTGTACATTAAAAAAGTCATATTTTCGCTCCAATTGTTCCAACTCCTGGCATTGCTCACTTAGCCATCTTTCTCTAGCTTCTCTTATTTTCTTTTTTATCAGTTTATCTGTTTCTTTGTATCTTATCGGATTATTTGTTTTGTGTACCCTTCTTTCACGCATCAACTGTAATATTTCCTCATTCATCCATTCTTTATGTTTCCTTTCTTTCGGTGTTAAATTTTCTCTCCCTGCCAACATTACGGCATGTTTAATATTCTCCCATTTTTGGTCTATGTTATCAGTATTTCTATTCAGTTTCTCTATATTTTGTAAATTTTCTTTGATGTTCACTATTGTTTTCTCTTTTATATGTTGTTCATTCAGTCTTCTCACGTCAATTTGTTTCTGTATGTGTTTTTTAATGATCTTTAGTTTTATTCTTAATGTGACTACTACAGGATTGTGATCCGAGCCTATATATGCTCCTGGGTAGGTTTTAGCTGAGAGTATAGAGTTGCGGAATCTTTGACTAACAAGGACAACGTCAATTTGGTTTCTGACTACTCTACCTTTGGTGTCACTCGGAGATTTCCATGTGTACAGTCGTCTGTTAGGTAACTTGAAAAGAGTGTTAGCAACTACTAACTCCTCCGCTTGACAAAATTGTACCATACGGTCTCCTCGTTCGTTTCGTTCTCCTAATCCATAGTCACCCACATAACCGTCCACACATCCATGTCCAAAAATTATGCAGTTAATCTTAAACATTAAGTCCCATAGAGAACCCAAACTAGTATGTTTTTCCCACAAACCTTGAAATTTAATTAGTATAAACAGTGAATATGTGTTTGTTGTTATTTGATAACTTTTATTTTCAGATACAACTATGGAAATAAGGTAAAAGGAGAAGCTACGGTGACAGTTTACCCGACCATATACTCTGGAGTGATCCAGCCCATATTCCAAAATCCTATTCGAAAAGTTTTCCCGATTGACGGTACCGAAACCGTTGAATTTGACATCGGACGAGATTTACAGCTCAACGATGAATACGAGAGAATAGTTATTTTAGATGTCGCTGTTGAAGAAAAGCTAACAGGGAGAAGGCAGAACAACAGTATGGAGATACATATTCACAAATATGACTACCATATGGATCTGATCAAGTCGGCCGACTATTTTAAACCGGGGCTGAAATATACAGCATATGTAAGTGAGTTTATTCATTAATAGCAGGTTCAGTTGGGATTTTTTTTTATTTAGGGGAACCTGGCCTAAAATGACATACTACTTTTTTGTCGTCCAATAACTTTTTTATTTTTTTAATAAAAATTTAAAAAAACATAATTGTTGTTCATTGCTTGGAAGTAGAACAGATCATGGAACATAAAACTCTAACAACACAATATTTTTTAATTAAAAAAAGGAAACAAAATAAACGTTGCTATGTCATTTTATCCAAGTATATTCGGCTAAAACGACACACTCACATGGATAAAATGTCATATAAACTAAATTAGCAAAGTTCACAAATAAATTTTTTGCACGATTTTGAGATACCAGCACAATCACAGTATGCCCATTTTGAGTATTTTTGGCACCTAATCCAGAATTCTTTGGACCTTGATTGGGAGTACAAACTGTTACAATATAAACATGGAGGATTATTTTCGTCTTCGTCATCATCTGACACAATGGTCTTTGTTTCCTCCTCGCGATCTTGTGTCATTAAAGTCAGATTCTTAATTGCTTGCTTTGCAGCTTGACGTTTTTCTGTAGCTCGCTTCTCGAGTGCTTTGGCTTTTTGTTCTTTCATATTTGGGGTAGCCGTTAGAACTTTTGTTCCTTCTGATTTTCTTTTTTTGGAGCGTGACTGGACACCTAAACACGATGGAAGAGGGGAAATGTCAAGTGGACGAATACCAGGATTAATTGAAGAACAACTTTCAAGTGAGTTTGGTCTAGGTGTAGAAACCGGTTTGTTTCCTTGATCTGGAAAATCTTGATGTCGCAAAACATTATCATTCTCTTCTTTTGACTCTGTTAGGGGTTGAATTGCAACTTCTTCTTGAATATCTGTTATTTTGGAAGGATTAAATAGATAATCAGGGAATATGTCGGGATTAAGGGGCCAAAGTCCAGTCTTTAAAAATCCACTAACGGCATTTTGGTGTGTAGCTGCTTTTCCATACGCTGTAGCAAATAATCCTTTAACTTGGTATTGCGAAACTGTTCTGCCTGGATGACACTTCATCCACTTGGTAACTTCTTGATCATAGTAGCTCTTTAATGGATCAAAGAAACATACATCTAACGGCTGTAGACGATGGGTACAGTACGGCGGAAAACACAATATCACTATTTCATGTTCTTTGGCAAATGTTAAAACATTAATGTTTTTATGGCTCGCATGCCCATCAAGCAACAGCATAACCTTGTCTTCTATAGAAGGATTAGAATATTCTTTAAAATGTTTCATCCATGTTAGGAACACTTCGCCTGTCATCCATCCTGTTTCCTGTGCTATTCCTAAAGTTCCTAAAGGCGCTTCATCTATTAATTCTTTTTTCCAATTTTTCCTGGGGAATATAAGTGTTGGTGGAACATAATTCATCACTGAGCTAATGCAAGCAACCATCGTTATGTGCTGCCCTCTTTCCGCACTTGTAATTAGGCCCACTTGCTTCCGACCCTTGGTTGCAAATATTTTGCCGGGTTTTTGAACCGTGGATAGGCCTGATTCATCCACATTCCATATGCGTGTAGGATTAATTTTGTTATTTGTAATAGTATCCTCTAAAAGTTTAAAAAAATTGGCAATTTGCGGCCTGTTGAATGATTGCGCTCTTGCTGCAGACGTGGACTCGGGTTTTCTAAGGGATATATCGGGGTGTCTAGACCGAAACCCTCGTAACCAATCCCAACCAGCCATCTTAGTGGTTGTGTTAAATCGGTGTACTATTCCATTTCGATCTGCTAACTGGTAGGCTAAAGAACGAACGTCATCCCAAGATAATCCAAACAAACTTGATTCTAGAAGTTTTATGTGTGTTACGAGGTCTCTTTCTAATTCTACAGAGAACATAGTTTCGTACCGGCCAAGACCTTTATTAGTACCTGATACCCATTTATTCTTGTCTGATGCTCGTCTTGGGCACATTAAAAGTTATCGATGCTTTTAACATGTCTCCACACTGGACTGCCTGGATGGCTCTTTGCATTTGTACTGGATCCCAAGACTGGCGTATACTTCTCCTTTCGTAGTGTCCCACCATACTAAAAAAGAAAAATACCATACATTAATATTCTACCTACCATATTATTATTAAAATTTATATGGGCAAAATAACATACTGTGTCATTTTACCAGAGTATTTAATATGTCGTTTTACCCAAGTGTGAACAAGAACACGTTTTTTACAATAAATTTTTTGTTTAAACAAACAAAACTTCCAAACATGATGTTTCTGTTAATATGAATAACAATACATACCTGGAACTAACCGAGATATAAAATTTTAAAGTTTTAAATGTTTTATAGCGAAGTATACGTCGCCTACCAAAATATTTTGGTACTCAATAAAGCACAAACCACCTTTTAACAAGTAAACGACTGAACTGATCGCGACGCCCGTTGGAACATCAATTATGCACCACGTGATGCTCTTGTATAAAACTTCTTAGCGCATAGTCATGTTGCCAAGTTAGAGATACACCGGATGTGTCATTTTACCCTAGTATGTCATTTTGGGCCAGGTTCCCCTACAAGCCGCATTCCCAAAAGGATATTGCAAGTGTTTAAGGAATACAATGTTTATATATATATATATATATATATATATATATATATATATATATATATATATATATATAGTTTTTTTATAGCTTTTGTTCAATATCAATGTTTTTAATGTTTTTAGGTCAAAGTATCCAACCACGATGGCACACCAGTAAAAATCAATCCTCAGGAAGTTATTGTTAAACACGGATACTCCAGGGTAGACGAAGTATATGAAGAAAACAGGTACACTTTAGATAATAATGGTTTCTTGAAGCTGGAATATCTGACTCCAGGAAATGTTACAAATGGAACTGCCTTGAGAATAGAGGTAAGAAAGCCCGTTCAAAAGAATATTTTACAACTTACAATATAGTTTTTTGATTTGATATTAAGTTTGTTATTTTTAATAAGCTATATTGATTCTAGAATTTCATCAATATCTGGCTCTATTATAGTAGCTGGCATGAAACATGGTGAATTAATAAATATGATAATACTAATAACACTTTTGCTGTATTTTAGGTTGAGTTCCGTGATCTCAAAGAAAGAAGCACACCCATTCCAGCTGCCGTCTCCTTCAGTGGTAACTTTCTCCAAGCTACCCTAGAAACCGACCGCCCCATTGTCAACCTGGACGTAGATATCTCAGTCAACAGCACCAGACCAATGCAGTACTTAAACTATATACTAATGGGACGCGGAGATGTGATCAGTACGAACAGTTTTCAAATAGAAAACCGAAAACAGTTCAATTTCCACTTTACCGCCACTCATGCGATGGTTCCTGTTTGTCATTTGATCGTCTATTATGTAACTGAAAATGGAGAGATGATTGGAGATGCTTTGGATATTGAGATCGATGGTCTTTTACAGAATTTTGTAAGTAATTTTACACTATATCTATTATATAATATATGAGTGGCATATTTATTTAATTTAAGGCATAACAGAGCAGATCTTACGGAGAACTAAAGATATTGACAAAAAGAATGATTTGAACTTGCGTAGAGTGATCAACATTATATCCTTAGGTTAGATTATTTGCTTGTATAGCTTTCCGACGGATATGTGCTTGTATAAGTACGCCTTATCTACTAACCTTTCTAAATATAGTATAGTTAATCTAAAAAGTTCATCTAAATGCCGACAATAGTGTCTAGAATCATTTTTTGACTGTCATGTAGAACCCAGGAACAGTGCTTTGATGTTTGATATTTAGTTCCTAGAACCATTCTATATTATATAATGACAATACATAGGTTGGTTAACTTTTGTTTGTCCTATTTAGGTTGATTTCCAACTCAACACTTTTGAAAGCGAACCAAACCTTGACGTAGAGTTTACCATCACAGCCCAGCAGAACTCTTATATCGGTTTAATGGCTGTAGATGAAAACGTGGCACGTCTCAAAGATGGCTATGATCTCTCATTGGGAAGTATTGCAGAGGAGCTGAAGATGTACGATGTGGCCCTCGGAACACCGTATCCTCATTTTCGAAGTAACTCCAAGATGAAGCTGTCGTGGTATCCTGGGGCTAGCAATTTACATAATGCTATATTTGTAAGTATCTTTTATCTTTTTATGCATTTGTTATAGCTAATAAGTTTGGTAAAAGGACTCTTGGTATGCACCTCCATCACATTAAAAATTTATACTCCATATAGGGAGTATACTATTTATACTATAGGGCATTTACCACTCGATATAAATTTATCGTTGAAATGTTGAAACTTTATATATCAAAATAAAAAAACTTCTACAATTTTGTACAGCAGAAAATATAGCATTTCAGAAAAAAAAACATATAAATTCTTTTCATTCTTAGGAATCAGGTGCTGACATTGCTACGAACACTAGAATCAATAGGCATAAACCAACACGTAAGTACTTTTGTTCCTTATTCATATCTCTTTGTTCAAATCTTTATCATTTCCAAGTTTCAAACTTCGATAACAATTCTTTGACCTGTTTCAGTGGAAGATATTTACCTTCGTCCAGTTTTCTACGGTCCTTCGACGGTAAAACCAGACAGAGGTCTCGGTCTTCCTATACACTCAGCAACTAGACCACCTTTGGCGGGGCCTTATGCATTCAGCAGAATACCAAGACCAGTGTGGAATAGACCCAAAGTTTATCTTTCGCAAGATATTGCTGAAACATGGTTGTTTAATAACTTTTCGACTTACGAAGGAAAGGCTTCTATTAGGAGGAAGTTACCGGAAACTTTGACCACTTGGTCAGTTACAGGTAAGAGTTGAATGTCAGTAGCTGTATCCATAGGATCTTCGTTCCTTAGTGAATTATTTTTACACTTTACTCATTTTCTAATCTTATTTTGATGTTAATGAAGATTGTTGTATGCTATTTCCAAATCTACAACGTTCAGTAGATATTGACTATAGGTGCACATCTTTTTTGTTGTAGGTTTTTCGTTGGATCCCTTGCATGGACTGGGATTAACTACTACAGATAAGAAAATTAAGGTCACCAAATCCATGGTGGTGATGTTAGACTTGCCTTATTCAGTCCAAAGGGGAGAGATCTTAAGTATTCCAGTTGTAGTTCAAAATAATGTCAATGAAGATATCACAGTTGATGTCACGTTACACAATTCTGAACAGAAGTTTGAATATATAGCTTCTACTGACGATAATACTGTTAAAAGTAAGTTAATGATAAAATCCTATCAAGGCTAAAATAACTGCAAATCAAAATTCCTACTGTAAAGCATTTTTAATTACTCAAAAACCAACATTTTTATATTATCTTTTTGATTTTTTCCTCTTAGGAGTGGAATTATATCGAAGGAAAAGATTGCAAGTAGAGAAGAATGGCGCAGCTGCAGTATCATTCATAATCGTGGCAAGCAATAGTGGTTTTATACCAATCAAGGTGACAGCTAGCAGCCCCAAAAATCAAGATGTCGTCGAAAAACAATTATTAGTTGTGGTGGGTATGATTTAATGATATTATTTATAAAATAAATCATCATTTAAGTCAGCTATTAAGGTTTGGGCTAAAAAGACCTTGGAATACTGCCACATGAATATGAGGTCACGCAATCATTTTTTTAAATCACAATAATCCTAAACAAATCAGTTTATTTCAACAAAATCAGTCAATATTAATAATCAAATCACCATTTTCTTTATTTCTTGAATTTGTCTTTTTTTGTAGATTTTTTGTTTAGGTTGTCTAATATATTTAATATGTTTCATTTGCAGCCTGGAGGAGAAACCGAATTTTACACGAAATCCGTTCTCATCGATGTCAGAAACAATCCCAACTTCAAGAAGTCTATCAACTTTACTATTCCTAAAAACGCTGTCGAGGGTTCAGAAAAAGTAGAAGTTTCTGCTGTAGGAACCTTCTTGGCTCCGGCTATGATCCATCTGGATAACGTCATTCGGTTGCCGACGGACTGTGGAGAACAGAATTTGGTTCATTTAATGTCGAACTTAGTAGTTTTACAGTACTTAAGGGTGACCAGCCAGCTTACTCCAACTATTCAAAATGAGGCCGTCAAGAATTTGGAAACAAGCTACCAACAGCAGCTGACATTCAAGAGGAAAGATGGATCATTTTCGCCTTTTGAGTGGAGAGATTCAAAAGGAAGTGTTTGGTATGCATTAGGGAAACTTTTTCGATATCTATCAAAGAAAAAATAAAGTCTAAGTTAATTTTAACGTTTTTAGGGTCACAGCCTACACTGTTTTAGCGTTGAGCCAAGCCAAAAACTTCATCTTTATTGACGATAGAGTTATAGAAAACTCCACAAACTGGTTAACTGATATCCAAGGCAAGAATGGCAGTTTTTATGAAACAGGCAACATCATTCATACCGAATTACAGAACAATTCTGGAAACAGTTTAGCTTTGACTGCTTTTGTGGTTATGGCACTACGTGAAAGTGTGCAGGTAAGATCGTGAATAGGTATTATTTGTTTTATTGTCGATATTCTACTACGAAGGCAATTATAGAAATATCAAAGGAAATTTCAAATTAACCCCTTTCGCTCCATTGTATTAACGTATGGATATTTTTCGGTATGGCGAACTTTACAAAGATATCCACATACGGATGTTCGTATTATTCTTCCTCTTCAGTGCCTTATGCGATCCGGATGTTGGCGATCATCAAGGCTATCGTGGTTTTGTTGACTGCTTTGCGGAACAGCTCCGCGGAGGTCATCCCAAATAATTGTCGGAGGTTTTTCAACCACGAGATACGACGGAGTCCCGGTTCTCTTCTGCCAAATACTTTACACTGCATAACGAGTTGAAAAATTTGATATTTTACTTCGTTCCGCATTACGTGCCCGAGGTACTTAAGCTCACGTTGTTTCACTAAATTAAGCACTTCTTTTTCTTTTCTTATGCGCTGTAGGACCTCAACGTTGATGACATGGTCTACATACAATATTTTTAGTATCCTTAATTAGATCCACATCTCGAATACTTCAACTCAATATAGTAACACTGGAAGAATTATTCAGATTTAGCCATACGGCTCACACTCCCTCTAAGGGGAAAATTCACTCATCCCAGATACCAACGGTATCAAAAGGATTGAGCTCTGGTGGGACTCTTTCCGTGTTATCGAGCCCTAGGTGACTTGATATGCTGGAGTATCTCCCAAAAATTTTCGTACACATCGGGATGTTGAGAGTAGTACAGCTTTTTGCATGGTCTTGTAGAGATGTTCATTCAGACCTAGCTGTTTTATATTTTCTAGGAGGTTCTTTGGAATGACTCCAGTAGTAGAGAGAATAATAGGTATTGTCTGGGTACTTTCCATTTTCCACTGTCTTCGTATTTGAATTTCCAGATCCCTGTACTTGGCGATTTTTTCGTTCTGTTTAACACGAAGATTATTGTTGTTGGGTATCGCCACATCAATTAATGTTGTTTGTCTCTTTAGTTTATTAACTAGTGTGAGATCTGGTCTATTATGTGCCACTGTTTGGTCTGTGAGCACCGTGCGATCCCAGTATAGCTTGTAGTTGTCGTTCTCAAGTATACTCTCAGGAACATATTGATAATATGAAAGATGGTTTGTTTGAAGAAGTCCCAGTTTGATAGCTATCTCTTGATGAAGGATCTTTCCTACTAGGTCGTGCCTTTCCTTATATTCAGTTGCAGCAAATGCCTGACAGCCCCCGGTAAGATGCTGAATGGTTTCCTGAGCTTGGCATCCATATCGGCATTTGTCATTTTGGACCTGAGGGTCTTTGACAATATATTTCAGGTAATTTCTGGTTGGTATAACCTGATCCTGAATGGCCAGTAGTGAACCTTCTGTTTCGGGGAACATCCTTCCTGATGTCAGCCAATAGTTCGACGCTATACTGTCGACATGGTCTTGACTGACCTCATTGGGATGTCGCCCGTGCAGAGGTTTGCCCATCCAGGTGCGCATTTTTTTCGTTGTTAGTAGGGTGGTTTATGCGCATTTCTGGTTCCCTCAGTTTGATCGGTGTTGTGTCACCTACTGCACAAATCGCGCGATGAAGAGTAGATGTCTCCGCCTGCACCTGAAAATAAGTTCTTAAATTAGTAATCTGTTTTTCTAATTGCTGGCTTATATCCATAAGTCCTCGACCTCCTAAATACCGCGGTAATGTCGTTCTTTCTACTGCACTTCGAGGATGGTGTTTTTGTGCCTTTGTGAGGTGTGTTCGCACTTTTCGCTGAAGATTTTCTATATCCGTTTTTGTCCACTTAACAATACCAAATGAGTAGCTGAGCGCGGAAGATGCGTAGGTGTTTAGTGCCTTAAACAAATTTTTACTGTTAAGGTGTGAACGAAGCAGCTGTTTTACCCTTCGTGTAAACTCAGTTGTTATCTCAGTTTTCATTTGCTTATGGTCAATCTTCCGCGCTTGCTTGATTCCTAGGTATTTATACATATCATTTTCACCCATGGCCTCGATGTTCTGGCCGTTTTGCATATCGAATCCGCCGGGCTGAACCTTTCCTTTGATTATATTTAAGACACGGCACTTGTCAAGGCCGAAGTGCATACTAATATCATTTGAGAAATTTTCAACAGTTTTTAGCATCTGGTCTAGGTGGTTTCGAGTGGAAGCCATTAATTTCAAATCATCCATGTACAACAAATGATTAAGCTTCGCCACAACAGTGTTGTTATTTTTGATACTAAAACCTGAGTCGGAAGAATTATTATTATTATTATTATTATATAAGCGAGGGCAGAGGAACTAAGTCCCTATTATGCCCAAAAACAAAGAAATTTCATTTATCACCTACTAAGTAGTAAATAACAAAAATTACAACTAAAAGAAATAAAATTACAATTTTTGGTTTAAAGGAAAAACAATATTTTAACTATAATATAAAACTGTCGAGTCTGTTTTTGAACGAGTTGGTAGAAGAAGCGGAGACAATGTTGTCATTGAGGTTATTCCAGCACTCAAAAACTCTATTTGGAAGAAAGTTCTGTCTTTGTCTTATAGAAAAATTTTCTTTCTTTAGTTTATATTGATGACCTCTGAGGCGTTCATCTTGGTTTATGATAAATATTTCATCGAGGTTTCCAAAATTGAATTTTAGTATTTTGAATGTTGTAATTAAGTCTCCACGTTGTCGGCGAAGTTCAAAAGTAGTTAGATTAGCCATACTAAGTCTTTCTGCATAAGACGGTCTTCTCGGTTCCAAAGAAATTCGAGTGGCTTTTCTTTGAACGTTTTCCAACAGATTTTTGTCTCGAACCAGATCGGGATACCACGTTGGTCCAGCGTATTCTAGTATGGGTCTTACGTACAAAGTGTAAAGTTTGAATAAGATACAGTCTGGAGTTTGCACGTTTACAAATAGAGGTAATATGATCGGACCAAGTTAGGCTGCTGTTCACGATAACACCAAGATCGTTATACGAAAACACAGATTCTAATGTAGCATCTCACTATCCGTATCTTGGTTCCCAAACTGAGATCACTGCAGCACAGCAAGGATCTCAACTTAATAAATGTAGACCGTGCCATTTCAATTCTGGATCTAATCTCTTGAGCGTAGTCCCATTGTGAGTTAAGGGTAGTTCCGAGGTAAGTGAATCTGTCGACTCTCTGGATCTCTTCGCTACCTGCCATTAGTGCCCCGGGATCTAAATTTGCACGGCTGACAACCATGAATTTAGTTTTCTTAATATTAAGGTCTAGTCCGTATGTTACGTTCACAGTTTTCACTCGATCTAGTAAGACTTGTAGATCATTTAGGCTGGTTGATAGTAACACAGTGTCATCGGCGTAGCGGACAGTATTGATGTATTTACCGTTCACTCGGATTCCCGTCTCTAGGTTTGTGAGGGGTTCAGTAAAAATTTCCTCAGAGTATATATTGAAAAGAGTCGGTGAAAGCACAAAGCTCTGCCTTACTCCTTCACTTGGTCTTCACTTGGTCGGTCAGCTGATCTTCGACCTTGACTTGAGCATGCTGGTCCCAGTATAAATTCGTGATAATCCGAATGTCCTTCTCATCGAATCCTATTCTTTGTAGGTAGGCGAACATCTTCTGGTGCTGACCACAGTCAAATGCCTTTGCGTAGTCAATAAAACAAATATAGACATCAGAACTGACATCGTGGAATCTCTGAAGTAGGACTTATAAGGTGAAAAGTGCTTCACGTGTACCCATGGAATTGCGGAATTTCTTCGCATTTCTTGTAAATTCTGGCATGTATGATTTTAAGAAAATTTTTAAGTTCATGACTCATAAGGCTGATAGTTTGGAAATCTTCACACGTTTTCGCAAATCGTTTTTTTTTTTTGGTATTGTTACAAATGTTGACAATAGCCATTCCTCTGAGATATTACCTGAATCGTATATGGCGTTAAACAGTTCAGTTAACTCCTTTGTGCTCACTCCACTCATCCCCTTAATAAGTACAACAGGTATTTCGTCCGGACCTGTGGCCTTACTATTCTTAGACTGTTTTAGTTGCTTTCACCAAGATTTTAGTATTTACGGACCTGTCATGTAATTTATTTCTGGTTATCTCGATAGTTACACTTTCAGTTACGGAAAAGTGAGAGAAGTCTTTAGATCAGATATTCCCACGTGCTTGAAAAGGAAGGTCTTTGATCAATGCGTACTCTCAGTTCTAACGTATGGAGCAGAAGCATTGATCCTTACCAGAAAAGTAACCAATAAAATACAAGTGGCACAGAGAGCGAGGAAGAGGTCAATGCTGAATATATCCCTCAGAGACAGGGTATCAAATACAATAGTTAGAATAGTTAGGAGAAAAACCGGTGCTACTGACGCAATTCAAAGAATTACAACATTAAAATGGAATTGGGCGGGGCATGTTGTCAGATTAAAAGATGGAACGTGGACGAAGAAAATTCTGGAATGGAGACCTAGACACGATGCTTATCGTAATCGAGGATGTCCTCCAACAAGGTGGTCAGATGACATCAAGCGCATTCAGCACAACTGGATTCAGGGTGCTCAAGATAGAATGCATTGGAATTATTTACGGGAGGCCTATGTCCAGCAGTGGACTGAAAACGGCTGATGATAATGATGATGATGATGATGACCTCGGTAGTCCCAGAAAAGTTCTTTAATGTACAATTTGCAGGTCACCAACTTCTCCTTAACTATCGTCGCCAGGTTCCCGTCTTTGTTTGTGAGGAGGTGTGTTTTCCCTCTGGTATTGATTAGTGACTTCTCGAATCTTTCGGTGGATATTTATATGATTGTGTTTCACTTGGAGCTCTTCGATTAGTTTACATTTTTCTTGCATCCATGTCTCCTTGGCGCTTTGTATTTCTTTTTTAATTTTTTGGTTGATTTTTTGGTATTTCTTTGCATCCCTGTTTTTCATTAATCTTCTTTGGTCCATCATCTTCAGAATGTCATCAGTTATCCATTCTTTATTTTTTACTCTTGTTTTCTTTCCCAGATGTTTCTTTCCCGCATTTTGCGTGACGTTTTTGATATAACTCCATTTTTGTTCTACACTCTATTATTGTTGTTTAGCGGTTTCTAGTTTTTCTCTCATTACATCTCTTACGTTTTTCCGAACTGCGGGGTCTTTTAGAGTGTCATAATCCAGGTTCTGGTTAGGTTTACTTTTGATGAGTTTCTTTAGTTTGAGTTCTATCTGGCCCACTTATGGGTTGTGGTCTGACGAGATGTCTGCTCCTGGAAAGGTCTTCGCTGAAGTCAAGCTGTTCTTGAATCTTTTGTTAATGAGAATAAAGTCTATCTGGTTTTTGATGATATTGTTGGCTGTATCTGCAGGTGACTTCCACGTATAAAGTCGTCTAGGGGGAAGTCTAAACCAGGCATTAGCAATGATAACATCTTTTTCCCAAAAAAATGGATAAGTCGGTCTCCCCTGGAGATCCTCCCTTCTCGGATGTTCATATAAAGAATATTAATGCACTCTGTAAAAGTGGTGTAGGGCTATGTAAATTAATTTTGATCGCAGTAGGACATGGATATCCATATGGCGATATCATGGTTAGCCATTTTTTTAAATTCCAAGAATAATGTAAACAGCTCAAGGTCGACGTTCAGTCTGGTGGCAACCCAACGCAGCGGCAAGATATTTATTTAGTGCACGTTTGAAGTTTGTTGAGAGAGCACGTGTTCGTTTTTTTGCCTATTAGGTATGTAATTGTGTTTTATATTAGTAAAAATGGATTCGGATCTCGAGAGTGAAAGTGATTTGAGTTATGAAATGTCTAATAGTGACTTAGAAAGTGATTCGGAGAGCAATTATTCATCAACAAATGAGGAAGAAGTCATTGATGAGGTACAAATGAGTGTCTGGACAGCCGTTATGGATCCGTTTGATGATAAGCTTGCAAGAGATGCACCCGAATTTCGCTTTGACTATAAATTTTACCCACCTATTGATTTTCAAGATTGTATGGAAACTGTAAACTGTTTTGAGTCATTTGTAAGTAGCAGTATTGTTAAAAAACTATGTGAATGGACCGATCAAAGAGCTGATAAACATTTTAATGATAATCCACACACCGCCATGAAAGTTTTTGGTCTATTTTTAAACCAGTGACAACAGAAGAAATGAATGTATTTATAGCGCTATATTCTCTCAGTGGATTGACCAAGTGTTCGCAAATTATTGGAATACATATAATGTATGCACTGGTCCTCCAGTTTTTTATAAATAAGTATGTTATGAGTCGAAATCGCTGTTTGGAAATTCTTAAATTCCTTAAATTTTCACCACCAGAACTTGTCAAAAGTAATGCACTTTTAGCAGATATATATGCCTATGCAAATGCATAGGCATTTTTATGGCTCTTATTAGAGATAATTGTCAAAACTTAGTAGTCCCAGGACCAGTTTTCGCAGTAGATGGGCAACTTATGTTGTATAAAGGTCAAATCCATTTTCTACAGTACGTAAAAAAGCGATTTGGTATCAAAATATTTTCCTTATGTCCCAGTGTGTCTGAACTTCGAGGATACACCTGGAATTTTTGTATATATCGGCAAGGATATACATGACATATCGCACATTTCAGGAACAGAAAACCTTTCTTTTTCCGAGAAAATAGTAGTTTATATTTGCCAAAAGCCTGAACAGTAATCGTGAAGTGATTGTAGATAATTGATATACATCCGCTCGTCTTTGCGAGTTTCTATTGACACAAAAGATTTTAATTACAGGCACTATTCGACCAAATATGGGCGTTCCGAGAGAATTAACATTGGTTCCATTAGATAGGCAACAATCATGTTTTGTTCGCAAGAATATGCTCCTTCTAGTTCGCTACAAGGACCAGAAAGACGTTTATCTGCTTACCAGTAAACATACTGCAGGATTTTGCGAAAGAGAACGATATGTTGTAGTAGGAAATGTCTATATTATAACAAACCGAAACATATTGAATTCTATAATCAAAATATGGGATCATTTGATGCAGTGGATCAAGATGTTGAACCGTATAGTAGTTTGCCGAAATCCTACACGTGGTTCACCAAAATAGGTTTGCTCCTTTTACATCTTATGCTATTGAACTCACAGAGTATTTTACAGCCAAGCCCATCAAAAACAAGGTTTAATCTATAAATATACAAAACTCTGCTGCGGGGGGATACTTCTGAAATATAGTAAAGGATATCAAGAAATGAATGATAAAAAAATGAACCTACTACATCTGGGAAACTGTTGCATGCAATGGCCCATTTTTCAAATTGAAAAAAAGGGCTCTACGAAAAGTTTGTGTAATTTGTAAAAAACGTGGAGTGCGTAAACTGCAACGAGAAAATGTTGCATTGCTTTTTCTTTTATTTTTTGCTTTGTTCTGAATATAATTAAATTGTTCACTGGTTATTAAACAAAGAACTGATATTAATTGTTTTAGTACTTATTCCATTTTTTATTTAATGAATACCTAGGTATTGCTTGTTTTTATTTAGAAATCAACATTCGTCAAACACTGTATACCTTCTAAGTATAATTAAAATTATATAACATATAAAAACATAAGACAGAGTAATAGTTTTATACCTACTTCAATAAATATATGTTTTTTATAAAGTAACTTCAAAACTTTGGAAACCTTTTATTTTTATTTAAAGTAACTTCTGTATGTTTTCTTAAACTAGCGAAATGATCCAACAATAGTAAACGTCATCAACAAAGGTTTAGACTACCTGGCAAGAAATATAGATGAATCTGAACCAATCTACACTGTTGCTCTTTGCAGCTATGTGCTGCAGATCACTGGACACACATCCCGACAAAGTGCTTTTAATCTATTGGACTCCAAAGCACAGACAAAAGAAAACCTGAAATGGTGGGCGAATCCATACCCTAAAAGCGAAGAAATGAACCCTTGGAGGAAATTACCCAGGTCTATCGACATAGAGACCACTTCATATGCCCTTATGACCCTTATAGGTAAGTTTGTCTTTTATTACACATTTCTTATTATTATAGAGGTATATTATTTTAGAGGCAAATCTACTAGAAGACGCTGTTCCTGTTCTGGAGTGGCTACTCAGTCAACAGAACAATCTTGGCGGATTCACATCGTCTCACGATACTGTGGTAGGACTGCAAGCTTTGTATAAAATAGTGACCAGGATAGCGAGTCCTACAAATATCCAAATAGAATTCCAGTATGGAAAAGATGGCTCCGGGAAATTTAGCCTCAATAGAAACAATTTGATGATTCAACAAAGTGCAGAGGTAAGAAAAAGATACAGTGAATAATTGTGTAGGATGATTTTCAGATGATAGGTTCAATTTGCAATTTGAGATAAACAAAGTATACCTTGGAACAAAAATTTATGAAAAGGCACATAAATTCTTTTATTGGAAGATATCACGTTATATTGAAAGAATATTTCGATTGCTAATATTACTCCTTACCATTCAACTAGAGACCTTTCATAATAAATGTACTTAAAACATTTCTAATACCATTGTAAAATATCTTTTTTACAGATTGAAAAATCTGCACGAGAAGTCAATGTAACAGCACAAGGTACAGGTATGGGTTTATTCAAAGTTGCATATCAGTACAATACCAACGTGACGGGACCTTGGCCCATGTTTACTTTGGACCCTCAAGTGGACAAGAACTCCAACAATTACCACCTACAGGTTTCCATTTGCATAGCGTAAGTAATTTTTGGTTTGTAATAGTAAAGTTTAAGGGTTTGATAATAAAGATCTGCCAATCATCATCAACCTGTATGCGTCCACTGCTGGACAGGTCTCCCTCAACTCTTTCCATCTGTATTTGTCTTGTGCTTCTTGCCTTGGTCTCCACTCTAAAATACGTTTTGTCCATCGGTTGTTTGATAATATGGCGACGTGTCCTGCCTAATTCCATGTAACAACAAATATTTTTGTACCATAAATTATTTAGACTTTCTCTACCATAGCTCCTCGGCCGTTCTTTTTAATTCAGCCCCTTTTGTTTCTGTTTCGTTAGATAAATTTCAATGGGACGCTGTCGAACCAATTATCAAAGAATATTTTGTGATTTATAAGTCTTGGTACTGTTTGTGTTAGCCGAAAAACCAAATTTGAACTTACCCCTAAATCAGGAAAACCATCGGGTACACCAAAATCTGCTTACACCAGTAAGAACAAAGGCCTTATATCCCTATTTGTGGGGATAATATTGTTTTTTAGATGAACGCGGCTTTGTTGGAATTATCTGCTCATCTATGGCTAAAAATTCCTCTTTTGGAACTTTGAGTAACCTTTCCTTATTCCTTAGTTTATTTAATACCGGTCAGATATTAAAAAGTTTATCATGACCAGGATTACCGGCACCAATAGCATCGTTATTGTTCGCAAAATGTAAAAAACGTTTTATTTCTTCCCATCTATTGAATGATATAACATCTGACATCAATCGAATCAGGCTGGAGTTCCAATAACTTCTAGCGTTTGGCAATTATTGCATGATTGACATATAAATACAGGTTCCTAAAAATTGCTCTAGCTTATTTTCAAAGGTTTTTGAGGTCTTTGTTCTACTGAATATAACATAGTTTGATAAACTATATCTTTGCTCATCTCATTTGTTAAATAAAAATTTAAAAATGCGTAAGGGGAATCCGCTTGTTGCAACTCAGGTGACAGGTCAATAGAACCGGAAAATCTTAAATCATCACCTGATGTTACCAAATGTTCTTCTTTTCAAGTTGGATAATTTTTATTTCTATTCTTTATTAGATTACGTCGTAATTCGTCCACATAAATATCATCTTCGCTATCCGAATTGCTTTCTAAATCCGCTTTTGGGATAATAATATCTGATTCATTATTATCTATTATATCATCTTTATAGTCTGACTCTAGGGCTAATATAATAGGGAAAATATCATCATCTGATAGCCCTTTGTCTTCACTACCATCTGGTATCTCCACTACCACAAGAGTTTCACCATAAAACTTCTTTAAATCCATTATCTAAAAAAAATAATAAATAATACCTAGTTCAGAACGCATTTTGTGGCATATATGAAAGAGAGTTTTGCACTACAGTGCATATTGTGGCATATATGGCATAAGCATATTTTTGATGAAAAAATACCAAAATATAAAGAAATACGTGAATATTCTTACAGAAATTTCTTCTTGAAGGTCTATCCTTAATGTCGCTATTCTTTTTGTACAAAAATATTCAGTAGAAACTTCGATAATTGAATATCAAATTGCACAATTCTTGTGAACAGCTGTCAGACCGCGGCAATTTGCAAATTTTCATAAATGTTCACTTTGCTGCATTGAATTGGCGCTTTATTACCAGTTATACGAAATATGTGCTCTATATGCACATGTTATGCATAAATACTTTAAAATAAGATTCGATCTCTAACGGTTAGGTATAAAACTAAGTATTGTGCCATATATGACCCACTATGCGGTAAGGGGTTAAGATGCAACGTGTTTATAGTATATTTCACGAATTTCTAACTTTTTTGGATTATCGCTAGACACTCAATTGTACAACCATTCCGTTCATTCTATTGTACAACATAAAAAATACAAAAGTACTCTAGTAATGGAAATATGAAACAAGTAATTTCTAAATTAAGTTAAAAATTTTTTTTATAATCCATTTTACAATTTATAGCATTAATAAGGTTATTTACTGTAAACCCTTCTGACATAATTCATGTGCACTGCACATTTTACGCGGGAATGTTTGTTTGCTTAGAAGTTTTACCTCCTTTGCTCAACATTAAACGTTTTTTGTATGAGTTAGCTGTTTTCTATGTTAATTAGTACATTAATGTTTGCAGGTTTGTGGGCCACAACCTATCGAGCAGTAACGAAAGCAATATGGCTGTTATGGAAGTGACGCTACCTTCTGGATTTACAGCAGACATTGATGCCTTGCCTAGCTTGGAACTCTCTGAAAATGTACAAAGAGTGGAAACCAGAAATAAAATGACGAAAGTATTGTTATATTTTAATAATATCACCAATATTGAGTATTGTCCCACCATATCAGCCTACAGAACGCACAAAACAGCTAAGCAGAAGCCTGTTCCTGTGGTTTTGTACGATTACTATGATAGCTGTAAGTTTTTATCTTATTATATCGTGTAGTATGCATATTCTGTGTTCAATAGAGTCTTAATATAAATAAGAACCACCTCTTCTACGTGAATTCCATGTATAAATGTGAAGTAAAAAAATTTTGCTGTTTTTTTTTAAGTAAAAATGCTGTTTTATTTTTAGCACGACGAGCCCGTGTGTTTTATCGAGGCCCCGCGACCCATCTATGCGACTTATGTGAAGAAGAAGACTGCGAAAGTGTCTGCAAAGCTGAAGCCAACGCCAGAGAGTCTCGGGAGAGGAGAATAGGATCAGATGACGATGGTGGAGGTGCAGATACTAGTCGCATGCATATAATATGTGCCATACTCGTGCCTCTAGTGATGATAGTAACGAATTGGAGTTAGCCATAAGCTATTTTAATGATTATACTTACAGCTTTTTCTATTAACAATTAATACTAGAAGTTATTGTTGAAACGTGTATTAAGTATGTTGAACAAACGAGTTTTTAGTTCTACCTTCTTTTATCTCTGACGAAATGTTTATTTTGTTACTTATGTATGTTTCTATAAATCATAGATTTTACTGCGTATATATCCAATTGAATATGTGGTTTTATGATTTAAAAAGCGCATGAAATTCCTATGTTTGTTCAACATACTATTATTTTTTCTTCTTTTATTTCTGGTCTTTATGTCAAGATAATGTGTTGTTAAAATACAACTCTAGATTGCTTTTCATAAGTTTAGTAAAGTGATTTTTATATCAAAATTAATAACTAGGTACAACAATATCTCTTGTTCAATAAACTTCATACACCAAGATGTTTACTAATAAACCTAAAATTGCTCAAATTAGATATGAAATCTTTCTTTATTAACTCCTACCCAAGGATTATAAGAGCATGTCAATTGTAATCTTACCACCTTTATATAAATTTGTATTACTGTTGTTCAATAAACAATTGGTGTGTAGACTGGTCCTCTGCATATCTACTGTCATTGTCGGAATACTGTTTGTTTTTTTGTTTCTTATTACTAATATTCGATATTACAACCGCATACCTTACATATTCCGTGAATCAAATAATAAGCAAAGATATTAAAAGAAACGCTTATGTATTGAAAAATAAACGTATTAACGTAACACTGTAACTTTGTATTATATAATATTATATTAAGTAATATTTTGGTAGTGTGAAGACTGGACAATAAATAAATTACATCTTCTTTAACTAATGAAGAATCAAGAAGTAATGTGTGTATTCATTTATGTTTAATATTACAATAACCTATCCTATTAGAAACCCTCTGATATTTAAATGCCATAACACTATAACCAACAGGTCGCTTAATCAAGAAAAGCAATGTTTTTAGAACAATTATTTTATTAAAAATACATACATGTAAATAACATAACCTCACCTAACCTTTTTTTAATTGCCGTATTACCAGATTCCGCAGTAAAACCCTAAGAAGATATCCATTGAATTCTGACAGGCAACAGTGGGGGAAATTTTTTTTTGGACATCTATTCAGTCTATGTCACGGAGCAAGACATTCTGGCATCTTTTGACCGAGTAGGATACTAGGCCAGAAGACCTCAGGGTAGTGCAGGATTAACCGTGTTCCGGCTAAAACCTTAACCACCGTTCCAGAGAGGTGGAGTAACTAAAGTATAAAACTAAAAATTTATAAATAAACATACCTATTAACGTAAATCAGAAAATATTTTAGACGTTAGGCCATAAACTAATAAATAATATTAACCATAAATTTCAGAAACTGCTTCAGGAAGTAGTCTAGTTTCCTAAACTTACATTCCCACCACGGCCTCAGATCGGGAATAGGCTCCTTCGTCCATCTTGCCTTTCCGCTATCATTCGCCCATTCTCTCTGCCACTCTACTATCGATCTTTCTCACTCATTCTCATCTATATTTACATCCATCCTCCTCGCATACACCCTCGCTCGCTCTTTGCACAACAAAACGATCGATATTACCCTCTAATAAACATATAGACACACATTTCGCAGTGTTCAGTACGCTACACCATACGGGGACAGCGTGGTTTACACCGACTGGAAAACTCCATTTAGCACCTTTCTTTTGATGCTACCTGGGCTTCCAATGTTTGGCATCAGCCGTATCAACGCCTCCAGATTCCCTTCTCTGCCGTCTTTTGGATGTGTACTTCGAACCTTAGTCCTTACAACAACCAGACTCCCAGATACTAAATTGATTTAACCGGTGCAACCTCCACACTTTCCAATATAAAGCGAAGAGAGGATTTTCATGGCTCCCTTTGAGAACTAACACCTCAGTTTTCTTAGGTGCTAGCTGTGGATCGTTCTCTCATGTCCGTTTTCTGAGTCGCCTTCGCAACCAGTGCGAGATCATCGGCATAAGCTACAAGAGTGCATCTCCTTGACATTTGTAGTCTCAATACCCTGGTGGGTACCTGTGGTCAATGGAAAATACCTAGAAAGCTTAACAGGTTGAAAAAGAATAAAGGTAATTTAGTAGATACATATTTGGATTTTCATCAAATTTACATTTTCTTCCTCAGCTGTCTTAAATTGTTTGCAATATTTTTCTTGGCTTTTGAAAATGTTTGGAGGTTCTCTGACTAAATAATTTTCTTCAAGCACGACCATTAATGCCCATTTCAAAATATATCTTCTGAAGTTTTCATCATCAGTGGCATTACAGCTTGTTATGAACCAAAGCCTTCTTCAGAACAATCTTTCATTCGCCCCTGTATCTGACAACTCTTCTCCATGCTTTAACTCCGATGGAGTTTAGATCATCCTCTAGTTATCTTGATACCTAAGTTTTGGTCTTCCTCTGGCTCGTCTTCCCACTGGTCCTCTTCGGTTGAAAATTTTTCTGATCATTGCATCTTCATCTCGCCTAATTACATGTCCTATCCATCGAAGGCGTGCTAATTTAATACATTTTACAACGTCAGGTTCCCCAAAACTTCTGTATAACTCAAACTTGTAGCGCCTACGGCCACAAACCCTGTTCTTGGACTCCTTCTATATATTTTCCTTAGAATTTTTCTCTCGAAACGTTTAAGCAATTCTTGGTCGTTCTGTGTAAGTGACCACGTTTCTGACTCATATGTTAACACTGGCCACTGGATACTCTATGTATCTGGTTGCCTGATCTAGTACAATTTCTTCTTCTGAAGTTTTACTCTTACGATATAGGACTCAGACTCTTGTCTAAAATAAGGAGAAAAGAACATTGTCAAGCAGTTTAACAATGATGATGATGATTAAATGCTCTGATGATTAAATTTCTCTATAGATCTACTTAAACAATATGTAAATATTTGAAGTGAAAAATACTAACATCGTGATCTAAATTACCATAGGTATGAACAAGAGTTTAACTAATATATGAAAATATCTCAATAAACTGTGAATTTACTTAGTTCGAACAAAAATTATCCCATACAAAACACTCAGAACGATCTACTGTTTATTATATTTTCAAGAACATTTCAAAGTATACCAACATAAAAATTATGAAAAACTGAAAAAAAAATAAACAAACATTCAAGCAATCTAAATTCTGAGCTAATAAATATTTTTTACATAACTTGTTTTTGCCTACAACTTTTTCTATAGTGCTTAGATTTTTAGCATCTTTTAACTTTATCAATAAGGTTTAAATATAACTTTTCTTCATTCTATTGTGAGTTTCTTTAATTTTGTGCAAAAAAAATTAAATACCAATATTTTGTTAATATTCTACAAAATTATAAGTCAACTCAAATGAACATGTTGGTTGTTAATGCATATTTTTCAAGTGAAGTGTTTTAATATAAGCAATGTCACAATACTCTCTTTTTGTTTTTAATTTGTGTTCATTTGGCATATAGCTTATAAAATAGACAACATACCCAAGTGTTTCTTATATATAATGTAAAAAATAAACACAAAAAATATGTATCACAATTTTTATTGCAAAAAATCAGCCTTTTTTAACAAAACAATAAAAAATACTACAACTACACCTACTCTGACTTTTCTTTTTTAAATTTTCCTATAAATCCTTTTACTTTTTCCACCAGAGAAGCACCTTTCTTGGATTTAACCACAAGTTTCCTGGTGGTGATGTTATGTAATGGACCAAAAGCCAAGGCTACTACAGTACAAGCCAGACATATAACATTGTAGGGCATACTAAAGTCAGGAGTTGGGAGAGTTATCACTATATTCTCTGTCCTCACTCTCACTAAATATCCACTTCTTGAAGCATTAAAGCTATCTGAAATTAAAGTACCATCTTGAGGAATTCCTGTATAGTTCCTGGCTACTGGAAGGTAGCTAGAAACAACAGCAGATCCTATGTAAAAGCCCAAGTTGGCATCTGGTGGATACTCCTGCCATTTCAAAAACACATAGTCAAAATCTACTACTACTGAAGTAGCTGTAGAAGCTGGAATTCTTATTAGAACCTCCAAATAATTGGGTCTTTCCCTTTGCCTAGCAGGTATGTATCTTAACTGTAAAGGTTTGATGTCCTTACCATTAGCTGTCACTTTCAAAGTATGTAGATAAATAGGTATGAACCAAGGAATATTTTGCATTAAGACAACATCCAATTCCTGCCAGTGGTTGTTGAAGATTTTTGTTACTATACCTCCACGTTCTTGACCATAACCTGACAAGTACTGGTTAGCATGTAATGGTGGTGGGAAATTTAGAGATAAAGTATCTGGATTTAAGTGTTTGGCATAAATATTTAAAAACTGATTAGAAACAACATATTTCTGTAATATACTTGTTTGTCCTCCTCTAATAGAAGTCACTGTTTGATCTGGACTAGGCTCCAATTCTATACTTTGATCAGTTGTATCTACATATATCTCACTTTTATCCACCAAAACACATTTTTTATTAACTCCCAATCCAAATAACTTCCTTAAAGACCAATTTTTGGTTCCTAGAATAAGATAATCATACACTAATGAGACAGTTTGTTGGAGTTCCAAAGATAATGATGTACATGATTTATCTCTGCATATAGGGCGTAAATGTAAACCTATGGAATGGTATCTTGTGTTGTGTATATAACCTGAGTTAAGTAAAGATGCAAGACCTGTCTTTGAGCCACAAGGAAGAAGCTTCTTCCAAGGTGTTAGATTTTCTGTACAGACAATTTCTTGTGGTAGAGTAGCATACCTATAAACCAAAAGAACAATAAAACACAATGAAAATTCCATAGTGCACATAACTTACCTCACATGAGTATTATTTAAATGACTAGATTCTACAACTCCCTTTGGTCGTAATGAAAATTCTGGACTAATTGTATTGGAACTATCAATGAAATTCAGGGAAGCACACAATAATCCTGACAAAGAGTTGGCAAGAAGATTCCAGTTTTTATCAACTTCAGTTACACTCGGCTTGAACCACACCCATACTTCTGCCCCACTTGCAGCATCTTCCACTGGATATCCCCAACTTTCATACCTCCAGAGACCACCAGTTAGACTGATATGTAACTCTTGGATACCAAATCTTTGGATAAGTTCTCCTATCGGCCTTGGAAATATTGGACTATGTCGAACTAAAAAGGAATATTTTAAAAACCCAGGTACGAAAATTTTGTTGTAACTTACAATTTTCTTGATCTGGATCTATATCCCAAATTGTAGAAAATTGAAAATGAGTATACACCTGCTCACTATGAAGAGGTTTTATGAGAAGCTCTTCTGTTATTTTTCCATCATAACTGAAAACCAAATTAATAAACAGAAATAAACAAAAGACAATTTTTATATGCTTCATTTTAACCTAAACCAAAAGCCGAATATTTTGATTTGACAAATCTGTCATCGATTTTGACCTTTACGTCATATGGACGTTTGGTTGCATAATATTTGGCTCTGGCCTGGCCGCAAGTATTATTCTCCTTCTCCTCCAAAAGAAGTAAATCGTAAATCTATATAAATAACATCTATGACAAACATATACTTTATAAAAAATTATTCATAATTTAAATAAAGACAAAATTTTACTATTAATTATTTTCACATGAAATAAACTGGTTTTTGATCTTAAAGAGACACAGACAAACCTATTCAAGAGATAGACTCAGAGGATAGACTTTTCTCCTAACCTATCTCTTTTTATCTTTCACTTTTGCATTGACAATGACATTGGTTTTGGAACATTTGTTAACAATTTAAAAAATAATTAGATTATTTATTCGTGTTAGTGAATTGCTGATATCTCAAGTTTTTGAAGCATACATTAAAATCCAAAATGGGTGATATAGATAATGAGACAAAAATCTTTCAAAATTCTATCAGGTACTTGCACAACATCTCAACATTACCAGAAACAAATGTACCAACATTAAAATCATTTATTTGGTAAGTATACTGCAAAAGAATATAGTCACAAAGAATATAGACGCATAATCCTTTATACTGCCTTGTATGGTTGTATGCAATATGTAACACATTAGTTTTTTTGCAAAAATTACTGTTAACGTTTTCTTATATAATAAAAAATTAATAAAGTTCTGAAACTGTTTTCTTGTGGCATGTCTAAGCTGAATACTATGTTTATAGGGAATAAGCTACAATTGATTGTAATGATAAGTACATTTTACCTAAAAATTTGATGTGGATGTTTTCTACTGTGGAAATCTTTTTTGAGAACAATTTCTGGAGTGGAAATCTAAACATCATTTTTTTAGGTAAAATTTAATTGTCATTACAATCAAGTGTGGCTAATTCTCATATAAACTTAGTATTCAATCAAAATTTCCTTAATTTTCAGCCTCAAAAGAAGATTGATGGAACTACGCAGGAGTTCTTTTCTCCCAACAAGTGCTACAAAACCAAGTATGCATTGTCAAAAGTGTTTTTTGAATTTCTTTGAGGGGCCTGCAACATATAATGTTATTTCTAAGCCAACTAGATACACCTTTGGGGATAAAGTAAAAGCAAAGCAGAAGAATGGCTTACCTCTGACAAGATATCAAGAAAAGTATCTTAAAAGAATGAAGAAGTTTACTGGGAATATTTTGGTTAGTACAATATGAGATTATTTGTTCATCCAATTCTTTATTACAGTTTTATGACTAAGTAATAATTGTAAAAATCGTAAGGCATATACTTCGTGTCTTTATGCACTAACACTAACATTTTTTTGTAGGTCACTAAATGTAAGTTCTGTAATCATGAAAACCAAACCAAATTGGATAAACCAAGGCTTAAACCAATAGCAAAGATATCGCTAATATCCAGTCCAGTAATAAAGAAGAAAAAGAAGAACAAAAGAGATAAATTCTGTGGATTGAATCAAAGTATCGTTGCTTCAGTTTCACTAAATAGCAGCCATGGTAATAATTGTCAGGGCACACCAGATTTATCTAAATCGTTTATCCCATTGACAACCAATAATACAAATAATACTAGAAATCAGATGGTATCTAGCATTGCAACGAAAAAGAAAAAGAAGAACAAAAAAGATACATTCTGTGGATTGAATCAGAGTATTGTTGCATCAGGTTCACCAAATAACCACCATGGTAACCCTGTCAACCAGAGCACACCAGGATTATCTAAAACATTTATCCCATTGAAAAACAATAATAAAAATAATATTGGAAATCATATGACACCCAGCAGTGCAAAGGACTTTATTCCATTGAAGAGTAGCCATAATAGGTCTAAAAATAAGCAAACACCAGATTTCTCCAATAAATTAAAGCCAATAAAAAGTTATAGAGATGCTAAGACACCTGAGGTGGCAAAGACTTTTACTCCTTCAAATAATAGTCATAATAATTCTAAAAAATCCAACAAATTAAACACCAACAATGTAATTGATCTAACAAAATCACCATTTTCAAAAAAATCAATGAAAAAAAATACTTCCGAAGTTATAAATTTGGATTCAGATGAATCTTTTCAGGAATTAAACACAAAGAGAAAAATAAAAAAGAAACAGATACAGGTCCAAACTTCTACTCCTTTGCAGACACCTATTCAAAAAAAGAACAGTGAGAAATATCGAAGTAAGTTGAGTGAGATATTTAAGAATGTGGGAAAGAAGAAGTCATCTTCAACAAATTTGATGGATTTTTTGCAAAGCTTATAATAGGATGTATTAATTGTAAAATAATGTCTTTGTGATAATTTGATATATTACAGTTTATTTTTGACAGTATTAATGTGTTTTCTTATCTACCATGAAACCAAAATAATTGAAAATGTAAGTACTACAGAAACCTTGGGTTGGATCCCAATACCAGTGAAAACATTTTAAGTGACTACTCAGTATTCCTGTATGTTTTTGAATGGGTTCGAATCAATCTCGTTCATCACAAGATACTTGCATTTTTTAACCCTTTCAGCCCTGATTTTTTTTTCAAAGGTGAAATTTTTCTGTTGATATTTTCTTTAATTTGACACCTAAATAATACTGAAAATATTATTTTTTTTTAAATTTATGTCCCCCCACTTTTCATTTTACAAATTGGTGGCAACTGCCACCAAGAGGTTATTAAGGCATAAATAAACATAAAACTATGTATATATATTTTATTATAGAAAAAGCATGTATAAAAATGTATTACGTTTTATTGACGTCTTGTATGATAACTTTTGAAAGAATTTCTGTCTTTCAACAAGCACAGAAAGACATTACACTTTTCACACATCGTGCGTGATCTTCCTCTGCATCCTTCAAAACCGCAACGCTGTTAGTGACCTTTTGTAGGAATTGGCCAGTGAGAAATTTCATCATAGCTCACTTCGCTGACAGGTTGTTGCTGTTTCATTCGTTTGGAAGGTTCATCTTTTACAAACGTAAAACGGGAATCTCTAGGGGAACTTCATGACTTCTTTTCGGTGATCTCAGTGGAGCTATAGAGAAATCTAAAGCTTCTGTAACGTAAAATGTGAATTCCAATAAATCTATTTTCTTATTTTTTAGGTTTATTTTGATTGTCACAACGATACTCCAACCATGAGTTGCACACTGCCACATTGAAATAGTGAAACATTACCCGTAGGGTTCACTTCTTACTTAAAGTGATACAAGGAAATAATTTTTATCCACGCCGCCCATACTTTGATTGTAAAGTTTAATTACTGCTGGACGTTCAACTTGTACATATGCTTTTGTTTTTTTATCCCAACGTTTGACAGTATCGGTAGGCTCTAAGCCTATAAAATTTGAGGCCATATTTACGACCTTCTTATCGAACCATCTATCTGCAACAGTATTTTGATCGGAAGTAATTTTCGAGTCTGAACTCTCCTCTTCCTGATAGTTTCAGTTATTTTTCGAAACGAAGTATACAGTTTCCCCTGCGATTTTGTCTAATAGTTCCAGCAGTGAAGTAATTTTAGTAATTCCATTGAATTGAAATAATTATTAAAGTAGAGCTTATATCCCGAATTATCTGGCAATCTTTGTGATAAATACAGAACAAGTAAAGTTGTAGCACTGTGGTTCATTTGTACAGACATAGGTAATGTAGTTGCGCCTTGATAAACTATCGATCGGTATATTATTCCTGATTCGCCACAAAAACTAAAGACTTTTATGCCCCAAGGATTTGGTTTGCCTCTAATATACTGTTTTAGAGAAAATTGCACCTTGAATGGTATAATTTTCTCATCTATGCAGTTAATTCTTCGCAACGTTTTTCATTATAATTCAAGCTGGTAATTATTTTCCTCACTTTCCAAAGATTACATAGAGGCTGACATATCAGCCTCTTCATAATCTGGATCTCCTTCATCTTCTATATCAGAACAGTCATCATTCAGGGCAGCTAATGCTACTTCTGCTTGGGCAAGGGTCACATCAACTTCAGATTTCCTTTTCCCGTAAAATACAATTGTAGGGACCTCATCTGAAAAGAATTCATTGTTTAAAATCTTGTCATAAATTCTAATCTATTTAATCCACTTTTGTAACCGTTAACACCTACTGGTGGCGTACGCCTTTTATAGGACCATACCAAATATTAGCAAATGCAGAAACAATTACAATTTATTCTTAAATGAACTTTTTATTATGTTAGTTAGTAAATACCAACAGCTACATGAAGTTTAACACAATAGCAATATTAGAACAAAAAAACAAATACTTACCAAGTGAAAAGGATCACATTCACCAGCCATTACTTCAAGTAGATCAACAAAACCTTTTTACATTCCATTCCAAATGACTCAAATACATAGGGACTGGAGCCGCCCTCTATTAGAATTATGTTGAAATAAAATAAGTCATATCACAGATATCTGTGCCGAATTATAGGCTTCGGAATTGCCACCGTCAGGGCCGAAAGGCGCCACCGAAAGAAATTAAATGCGTGGGTTATTATAAGAACTAGAAACAATTAAGTAATAAGCAAACATAACATTTCATAATAACGTGCGATAAGAAATAGTCACTTCTGTCTGTACCTACTTCCCAAGTGCCACAGGCTGTTTTTTCTAAATATCTAAGGGCCCCAGGTTGACTCAAATAAAATAAGTACCTTGGGTAAAACAAGGAGTGACAATAGACAGTTGAAGCATGGCACTAGCACTGTTAGCTTCCTTGTATATGATACGGCCAAGAAATAGCAAACTACTATGTTGTACTTCCAAGCTGCATTGGAGGTATAAGGGGAGACCATTCTTATCTATATACTTAGTACATATTAATTTGATTTCACAATAAAAATTACTTTGTTCAACTTGAATTTAGCAAAATGTAATTACCACAAAACCTAGAGTGTTCCATAGAATACCTACCCTAATAGCACATGTACGTCCAGTGGACGTCCATAATACAAAGACTTATGATGTAAGTACTAACTCAAACTAAAAATGTTTGGATAAACGGAACTGATTCAAAACGTTTTTAACTATATCACTTGTAGCATACATGGTTAAATTAAAGAACTGCATTAGCAATAGGCTGTAATGAACTGCAGAAGTTATAGAAGCATAGAGTAGACTCAAATCATTGCCTAGTGATCTCAATATTAAGGGCTAGAATTTCAAACATCGGCAAAGGAAATACAATGGACAGAAAGAAATGGAATATGCAAAAGCTGAGAGATGTAACAATTGCAGAACGGTACTCGGAAAACATCAACAACATACTAAGGATTCAAAATGTAAATGAAGAAGGCCAAAAAGATATAGGCTAATACTTGACCACAGTTTGACGATGAATTTAAGAGTCCGAAAAAAAAAATTGAAGCTTATAGAAAAATGCTTATCCAACGAACTAAATTAGCTGTAAAGAATTACCAGATAAAGAGAAGAAAAGAGGACACACAAGAAAAAACTTTCTTCTTCTTCCTTCTTGTATGTAGGCTTTAAAGCCTGTTTCTTCTTCAATATTAGCCTCCCAAATTGTGTCTCTTATCACTCTCGTGCTTATCTCGTACGTATATTCTATCCTCTGCCATTCTACTGATGTGTTCGTTCCACTCCTGTTTTCGTTTTGTCACCCATCCATTTATGTCTTCTATATTGCATGCTCTTCTTATGTTTTCGTTTCTCTCCCTATCCAACAGACTTTTCCCTGATAATCGTCGAAGTATTTTCATCTCTGTTGTTTCTAGTAGTCGTCTCGTTTTAGATGTGTCATGTCTTGTCTCCGCCATGTATGTTAATATAGGTCTAATTGCTGCTTTTTAGATTCTTGTTTTTGTGTCTTGTCTTAGGTATTTGTTCTTCCAGATTGTCATTCAGAGATCCCGCCGCTTTACTTGCTTTTAAGCTTTGTTGTCGTACTTCTTCTTCAACATCTCCGTAACTAGTTATATCTATTCCCAGATATCTAAATCTTGCTTCCTGCTTTATTATTTTTCCATCAAAATCGATTTTACACCGTAGTGGGTATTTAGATGTTGTCATACATTTGGTTTTTTCTGCTGATATTATCATATTGTATTTCTTAACTGTTGTATTGAAGATATGTGTTAATCTTTGGAGCTCGTCTTCTATCTCAGCGATTAATGCGTCGTCTGCATAACATAATATTTGGAATTCTTTGTTCCTCATTCTGTAGCCATGACCTTCACGTACTGCTTGTATTATTTCGTCCATTATTATATTAAAGAGAAGTGGGCTTAACGAGTCACCCTGTCTGACTACGCTTTGTACTGGTATACACTGTGTTAGTTTTCCATTTTTCTTTGCCTGTATTCGATTATGGAAGTAGATGTTTTCGATGCTTTGTATAATATTGATTGGTATGTTTCTTTTATACAGTAGGCGACTTGGATGCGATCGAAAGCCTTTATCAGGTCTATTAAATATAGATATGGTTTATTGTACTCGATGGCCTTTTCTGTGATTTGTCTTAGTACAAATACGGCATCTACGCATGATCTTCCGGATCTGAATCCTTGTTGTTCATCTGATAAAGTTGTTAGTTTATTGATTTTGTTGGTTAGGACTTTTGTGGTAAGCTTAAGTGCGGTGTTCAGTAGATTTATACCTCTATAATTGTTGGGGTCTTCTTTATCTCCTTTCTTGAACATTGGTATCATTATGCTGTTTCTCCATGCGTCTGGTATCTTGCAGTGCAATATTAGTTTTTGTATAAGTTTTGTCATCTCTAGGGTTATACTTTTTTCCTCCGTATTTTAGAAGCTCGTTGGTTATTCCGTCTGGTCCTGGTGACTTTCTATTTTTGAGTGAATTTATGCCTATTTCTACTTCCTGAAAACTAATTTCTATTTCCAAGAAAAAAACGAAACCATTTAAACAAGGAACTTTAATGTATAGAAAACCTTAACACAGAGAAAGAATTCAGCGTATTCTATACGAAAGTTAATAGAGGAGAGATGTTTAGAGGAATGAAAGAGCTAGGAGTACCAAATCAGTTGGTAAATTTAACAAAACTAACTCTTACAAAGTTAAATGTAGAGTATGACAGTTCCAGGGGGAACATGATCAATATTTAGCTCACCGATCGAAAGTCCAATGAACGAATAAAATGACGAAAAACAGTTAGAGGTGTAATCAAAAAGATTGCCATGTTAAAATGGAACTCGGCAGAACAAATATTTGGCAGAACAAATAATTATTTTAATTTTTTACTTCTCATTTAATGTCTGTATTTTGTAATTGATTTTTCATACATTTTTTAATTTAAACCTGCTTAAAATCAATATATGTTGACTAGAAAGGAATTGATCGAGAGTATTAAATCGATGTGAAAAACAGCTATCTTGTTACGCTACCCGTGACGGCGCCATCTTGTGAGGCTACTTCCGTGACGCTCGACTCAGCATTTTACTATAGTATTGTTCTGAAGCTATTTTCTTGTGGCATTTTAAACTTTTCCACTTCGGAAATTTTGAGAACGATGTCCGAAGTGGAAATTGAAACGTCAATAAACCTACTTTAACCTTTAATTGTGGCTTATTCCCATTTAAATAGTATTTTACTATAGAGAAAAAAAGTAATAGAACGGCAATATAAAAGCTTCGCTTCAAAAACTATAACTATCACAGGCAATATAAGTAATTATTGAAATTAATTTATCGCAATCACTGATTTTATTAAGAAATATCTAGTGATTTGATATCTGCAACAATTCGCATCGTAAATAGCATAAAGAATAATTATAACATCTTCATGTATTCTAAAAACTAAAAAATTTACTTGATTCTTATTCATCGGTTCACTGAAACAAATTCCAACACTTAGAGACATTAACATGGTTAGATTTGAAAGTATTATACAGTGTGGAAACCACTTATGGAATAAAATTGTTTGTGTCCTTATTTTAGAAAATAATAAAAAACGTTGAGATACCTTAACTTTTATATGTGCGCTTTTTAAACATAAATTTGAATGTACAGGGTGATCCATGCAAGTCTGGCATACTCCATAATCTGTATTTTAAATAAAACACCCTGTATATTTTTAAGTTTTTAAAAGCTTCTTAACAACCTAATCTCAACGAATTACATCATGTAGGGACTATTATAGATAATACAAGGTGAAATTTTGAAATTAAGTATAATTTTTTAAGACAATTAATTCATAGAATACCCGAGGTAATTGATTGGATTACAGTAAAATAAATGCTCAAAATGTTCTCCACCTTGTTGTTGGCAATAACACAGTCTCCTATAAAACTCGTCCCGAACTTTGTTTAAAGTTTGAGGTGAAATATTCCGTATTTCTGTAGTTATCCTTTCTTTGAGGTCTTTAATGCTAGTTGGTTGTGTTGCATATACTTTGTTCTTGAAATAACCCCACAGAAAAAATCCAAAGGCGTAAGATCTGGCGACCTAGCTGGCCGCTCAATAGTACCCTTTCGTCCAATCCATTTACTGAAGAAAATTTGATAGCGGTCAGATAGCTCAGCGGGCTGTGCGGCTGCCTCTCATTCGCTTCACTGTCGAATGGTTCAGTGGATGTGGGATCGAGCCCCAGCTCGGTGTACAGAAAACAAAAAGTCTAACGCAGCAGTTTAAAATTCTAGATGAATCTGCGGCTTAGACTAGAATATGCTGGGATCTGATCGGCCTATGGTGGAGCAGTACGGCAAGAGATAAGGGCTTGCGGCTCGGTGATACTCCTCCATAGATCCCTACCGGACGGGCGTAACGCCCAAAAAACCGGATATATATATATATATATATATATATATATATATATATATATATATATATATATATATATATATAAATTTCTCACCATTAAAGCATAATGGGGTGTTGCACCGTCCTGCTGAACCATACTGTTTCATGCGGTAGGGTAGGATCTATTGGATTAGGATATAAGTTAGCCAACTGAGGAAGAACATCGTCTCTTAGCATGCTTAAATATTTTTTCGCTGTCAAATTACCATCTAAAAATATAGGACCAATAATATGATCTCCATAATAGCTGCCCAAACATTCAACTTTTATTGAGTGTGTATGTCTCACGCATCCAATGAGGATTCTCCGCTGACCAATATCTACAGTTTTGTCGGTTTACCTCTCCGTTCAATGTAAATGTTGATTCATCAGAAAAAATAATTGTGCCAAGAGCTATTTCATTTGTGTTAATTTTATCCATCATTCTTTCGCAGAAATCCATTCTACGATCTGGATCGTCTTCTACACAAAAGTCAATTTATATGGATGAAACTTTTCTTCATGAAGACACCTTAGGACAGTTGTGTGACTCACATTATTTTGATGTGCAATTTGACGTGAACTTGACGTTGGATTCTCTGCGACACTTAACAAAATATTCACTTTCGTCTCATTTTCAATGAAGTTCGGTTTTATTTTTAATGGTTTGAAATGTCCAAGTTCTCTGAATTGTGCATAAATTTTAGACACAGTACCTTGTGAATATATTAGGCAACTGAGGATACCTCTGATTAAATAAGTTTGCTACTTCAACTTGACTTCTACAATTCTCCCCGTAACCGATCATCATTAAAATCTCAATTCGGTGGGTCTCACCGAATTGAGATTTTAATGATGATGATCTCAGTTAATATTTCATTTTTATTGTAAATATTATTATTGTAAGTAGTTGTAATAGTTTTATTATAATCCAAATTAAAAATTTTACGGATAATTTTTTTTGGTTAATGAACACTTTGTTACTATCTACTGAGTTCCCCCACAAAATTACATTATATCACATGTGGCTGTGAGCAAGGCTATAATAAACGTTCATTATTGCCGAGAAGGGTAGTGTTTTTAATTCTAGATATAGCATAAAAAGCTCTATTCAATTTCATGTTCACTGAATTCACTTGCTCTGACCATTTGAGATTACAATATCAATGAATACACCCAAAAACTTTGTAGAATGAGTGGAAGATAACATATTGTTTCTATCATGGATGGTTAAGATATAGTCATATTTAGATGAGTTGTATGAATGAAAATAAATAATTTGCGTCTTGTCAATGTTTAATATTAGTCTGTTGGTATTACACCAGCGTAATATTATATTTAGCCAGCGATAAATTATTAATTTCAAAAAATTATTTATTATAGACCCTACATGATATAGTTCGTTGAAATCAGGTTAAGAATCTTTTAAAAACATAAAAATATACAAGGTGTTTCATTAAAAATAAGGATTATGGACTATGCTAGATTTGCGTGGATCACCCTGTACATTTAATTTATGTTTAAAAAGCGCACATTTAAATTTAAAAGTTAACGTGTCCCAGAGTTTTTTTATTATTTTCTATAATAAGGACACAAACAATTTTATTCCATAAGTGGTTTCCACACTGTATAAAATTTTGTTAGAATTATTGCGCTTTGAGTCAAAATACGTCATTTCGGAAATTGACGATGTTTCAGCAAGATGACATTTATCATCTTCAATATAGTGCTATTCCAGACTGCTTGATTTCCATTCTGTGAGCATATTCTTGGCTTACAGAGAAGCTTAACCCGGAAAACCGCAAAAAATTTGCGTCCTCGTAAAATTGCAACAATCGTAAACCTAAAACAATATTAGTCACTTCGTTCTAGTTTCCGAACAACCGTTGCCGGGAAGCTGTAGCGATACTCGGGCGATTCCCAAATTAAAAGTATCCGAGAATTTCTTGTCGTATTTATATTCAACATTTGGCAAGTGATCAAGGCGTCTTACCTAATATTAGAATAGACGAGTTAGCCGCTTGCGATCAGTTCTCGGATCTTGGCCCTGTGTGCATGACAGTTCGCGAGTTTTTCTGCAAAACCTACCATCATGAGTGTAAGTACAAGCTATTTTTAGACCTGACAGATTGTTTATTGGAGAATGTTGGCAGGTGAAGATGGAAGTCAACAGTTAGTGGAATGGTGCATGATTTTAGTGCAAAATATAATCAAAAAGTGCATGACAGTATCTAAATACGTCATAATCGTTATTAAATACGACTAGAAACTTCGAAATTATTAAAAAACTCTCAAAAAATTTAACCATACTACTTACTTAAAGCTTTAAAATATTTCTTTTCATTCGATCTTTTTATTATAGACTACAAAACTTATTGCTTCTTCGGTTTGTTTTTTCACATTTAAATTATGCCATCGTTTTCTTTGATTTTTGTTAGGATTGAGCAGTGTACCCGTTTCTAGCTCTGTTTTTCAATGCCGCTCCTGTTTTTAGTAATCACCTTGTTTAGATTCAATTGTCAATCAGTATTTTTGTTTATCATAATTGTAGATGTTATTTGGGCGTTCATTGTAGTAGGTATTAATCCTTCTTCTTTTACGTCTATATATTCTTCTTCTTCTAATGGCGCTACAACCCTTTGCGGGTTTTAGCAAACTTAACAACGTTCTTCCATTCTGCCTTCTCCTAAACTTTTCTTCGCCACTCCCGGATGTTCATGATTTTAAGATCTTCCGATACATCGTCTATCCACCATTTACGGGACCTTCCTCTTGTTGTATTTCCTTGGGGTTTTCAACTCTGGATTACTTTTACAGCTCGATTATCTGGCATTTTCTAATGATATATGCGCTATACAATGGTTTGGTCTAAACGTCTTTCTTAATATTTTGCGCTCCAATATTCTCAATTGATTTTCATCAGTGGTTGAAAGGATCCACGTTTCACATCCATATGTGACCACTGGTCTAATTACTGTTTTGTAGATTTTTGATGATTCAGTAACTTACTTTTCATTAAATCTTTGTATGCATAAAAGCAGTTATTACCGCTAAGAATCCGTACTTATACTTGTTGACTGACGTTGTTCATCATCATAAGTGGCTCGAAAATCCGTTGTAGATCTTGGCCTGCTCACAAAAAAGTTGCCACTCCTGTCGATTCCTGGCAACATCCCTCCATTTTCTAATGTTCTCTACTACTTTAGTTCGTCCTCTACTTCTTGTGCCCTCTGGTTCTAAAAATGTTAATCTCTTCGTGTATTCGTGATCTGACATCCTAGCAATGTGTCCAGTCCATCTAAGTCTCTGTACTTTAACAAGTTTGACAATATCTGCATCGGTGTATAACTGATATAGTTTAAAGTTGTATCTTTATATCAAAACCTGTCTTATTAAGGTCTTGTATATATTGAGCTTTTCTGCACGTTTTATCTTTTTATTTTTTAAATGTTTCCGCATAATATCTTTTTGTTTGCTATTGCTATGCGTCTTTTTATTCCGTCGTTTGTCGTGTTTGTTGTGCTTACTAGCGATCCAAGATATGTGAATTCTTTGACTTGCTCAAAGGTGTGGCTGTTAATTTCAATTCTTTGTTGGATATTTCGGGGGTTTTTAGAAACCACTACATATTTGGTTTTTTCTCGTTTACCACAAGTCCTAATTGACTTGCCGCATCCAAAAGCCTAGTAAAATACTACATTTTAAGCAGAACCACAGTTTTTCTATTAATAAAAAATGGAGGGAACAGCAAACTCTCGAAAGAAAATGGGGGTCTGTAAGACCAAAACTATACCAAATTTAGGCATGTAAAAATAAAATTAATATTTTGTAATATCTTCATCAGTATTGATAACAGCTTGTAGTCTTCAGTCCATCTGCGTGAAAGCAACTATGAAATTGTCTTATTCAGAGAGCTCTTCCCAAACCTGTGGTATACCGTGCCAAATTTTGAGGTATAAAATAACGCCAATACAACCGTTTTGTAATAACCCCCACACATTCTCGAATGGGTTTAAATCTGGACTGTAGCTGAGCCATGGTAAGGTTTTGATGTTGTTATTCTGGAGCCACTGGTTTATTATATTTGCAGTGTGAACAGGACAATTATCTTGTTGGAGGATAAAATTATTTTCTGGATACAACTGTTCTACACTGGGAAACATGATGTTTTCTAGAATATTCAGATAAGTCTGCCCAACAAACCTGCCATCAATACGCCATACCATTCCCATTCCTACATTGGCGCTAAAATGACCAGCTGCTCGATATCTATCAACATAAGAGGATTAAATCTATTATTATCTGGTCTATACACCCCAATTTTGCCCTTTTTAGAAGATTGAAAAATTTTCTCATCTGTAAATATGTACCTGTCTCAAAAATCTTGATTTTGTAGCTGATGGTTTAAAGCAAATATAAGTCTTGATTGCTTCTGTTGTGGTGTAAGAGCTTGTTTTTTGGCTGAAGTTCGGTACCTATAACGCGATGCTTTAATTCTGCGCCAAGTTGTTGTCTTGCTTCCCGGAAACTGTGACATAGCTCTTTTTTCACAATATCTTTTTAGTATTTCTCCAAAAGCCAATTAATGATTTGGGCTTTTATCCAGACAGTTGTGGGCAGATTTCAGATCTTCTTGAAAATTCCATATAAAATGTTTGACGACAACAGATTATATTTGTATTCTAAACAAAATTTAGCTGTTATTGCTTGTCCATGCCCGTTAAAAGAAAATAGTCATTAAAAATTGTTGTTTAACTTTCAAGAACGTGGCCTGGTCACAGCACAGAATAATAAACAATCAGAATGCCTACTATGCTTGAAAAAGTAAGTACGCGCATCTCGTTCGAGGAGACGGAATCAGCCATGTTTTAATCGGAACCAGTGCTGTTCAATGACATTTTATCTGGTGTGCATAGAAAAATTAACCTGGTTTAATTTATTCACGGCAACTATAGACATAATATGCACTATTTTATTCGTATTTTTAGTTGAAGAATAGATTAAATTATTTTAAATTTAATAAATTATTAATCTCTAAAAATTTAATTTACAGTTCTTTCGTAGCTTGTTACAAATTTTTTAATTCGAGTCTATGTTTCCGTCTATAGTTTATTTTTATGAACGAGAGAGTAATTAGCATAATTTTAACTGGTACCTTCGACCACTCCATGGGCGTGCTCAAGATTAATTGAAAAATTACTTTGAATAATTGTAAAAAATAAATGAATTATTTCAGTGTTATAAAGTGTTATGTGTATGTAAACAAAAGTGTCCTCTTTTATCACACACTATATTAGAACTGACTGATTTATAATAACTGGCTCGATCATTTTATCAGTAATATTGTCCAGCTTCCACATTTTTTCCTCTTCTTTAATAGTGTGATTTACTGCCTTTTCCCAGTTTTCAGGTTTTACATTATTTACGGCCTCCAAAAACAACTGTTTAACATCATGAATTTTAAAAGTGGTATTTTTTCTTGAAACTTCACTCTTTATCTGTGCCCATACCAGTTCAATCGGGTTTAATTCACAATGATATGGTGGGGATCTAAGTACTGTCATTCCACGATTTTTGGCAATTTCATCAATTTCGTATTTTTTAAATTTTTCTTTATGAAGGGCACACAACGAATAAAGTTCCTTTCTTATAGATCCGGGATGGTACGTAATATTTTTTGAACTCAGCCAATTCTGCAAGTCTTTTTTTAACCACTTGGTTGTGGGCAGTCCTTCTATAAGTCTGGAGTGATAACTTGCATTATCCATTACTATTACACAGTTCTTAGGAAGAAGATCTATCATTTGTTCGAACCATTCTTGAAAGACATCAGCGTTCATGTCTTCATGGTAGTCACCGGTACGAGTTGATTCAAAAGTTAATAAACCACCTTCAACAAAACCGTCTGAACTGCCAATGTGTACTATTATCAGCCTGCGTCCCTTTCCTGATGGTGGGTTTAAACCAGTAGATAAGTTATTTACAAAAGCGTGCCTTTGACTTGTAACAGTTTCATCCTGCCAAAATTTATTTGGTGTATGACCCTCGTTGATCCATGTTTCATCAAGATAAAATATTTTTCTTTTTTGGTTTCTCATTTCCTTTATGGTTCTTAGAAAATGTCTTCTCCATATGACAATATCGCTTCTTTCTAATAAAATAGACTTTCTGGGATTCTTTTTCCAGCGGAAGCCTATTTCTTTTAAAAGTTTCCATAACGTACTTCGACTCATTTCTGGGTAATCCTTATCATCTCGAACTGAGACAAGAACTTTATCCAATGTTGGAAATTCTTGTCTAAAGAAGAATTCATGCACTTTCCGTCGAAGTCCTTCTTTAAAATGATATTCTATTTGAAATTTTGGTTTCCCTGGAGCATTACGTGGCATTTGAAAACTACCACATTTCTCTTCTTTAATAACTCTGTAAATCGTAGATTTCCCAACACCAAGTGTACTGCTAACTAACTCAACGGTCTCATCAACACTTTCACATAAACGTTTGTCTGTAAATGATTTAAAACAATTAAATATTAATGTTTTTTCATTAACTGTTAAAGGACCAATTTTTCGGCGTTTACACGGCACTTCCAAATTTTCCATAACACTAGTATACACAATAAACTGCACCTTGCAACTGAAGTACCTACTTTTAGTGAACTGTTAAGAATTTTGAATACGCCACTTGGACCTTCCTACAAAATGGAAAAACCCACTATCACATTTTCTGTGGAATAAGTTTAGAAGGTAATTATCTAGTCAATTACTGTCGTAGATTCCTGGAATTAAAGAATTAAATGTTTGATTGTTGAAACCCTTACTTCGTGGAATGCACTCATTTCAGATAAAATAAAACGTTTTATTTTATCTAAAGAATTAAACTTTATTTTGCAAATAGGTAGGTACTTATTAAACTTTTATTGGTTATATATAACCAATAAAATAAACATCTTACATTTCTTGCAAATTCATTAGTACCTGTTAACCTCCATCACTCCGACACTGGCAACCTTATTTAGGGATTAGTAACCCTCACAACTATTGTATTCTATTCTGCTCCAACCTTTATACCTGGTGGTCATACTCAATTTAAAATTGT